TCCTAAAATGGCAAGCTTTATTACTACAGATATTCCACTAGATTTAGAGAATAGATTTCGATAAATCTAGAATTAAAAAGCTAGAGCAAGAAAAAAAGACTATCAAACCAGGTATGAGAGATTCACGTATTTACATTCTCATCAGTAGAAAATATAATTACAAAGTGATCTCAAGTTTTTGTAATGAGCAAAACCAAAAGTGATGTGTACTTGTAGGAAGGTTGATGTATAAAGCTTTTTGGAACTAAAACAACTAGTCATGACTGCTTAGAGTGGATATGGAAAAAAACCTATGTCTAGACAAAATGAGTTAATTTGCAGGAAGGGAAACCACACTTTTAGATAGATATGTGCCACTTAATGCTTTCCCTTTGGCTTAATTTTCATTTTGAAAAGTTATAAGAAATCCTAACGTTTCTGAGTTGCAGACATACAAAATTGCAAGAATACTTCTCTTCAGAGTTTCTGGCAGAGAAGCAAGTCGCTAATCCACAATAGAGGCAATTGATAAAATTGGACAATTTGATAAAATAACTTGCATTAAAGACATTTCAAATGATATGCAATCGTAAACAAACATGTTCTTCAAATACTTATATCTCTTATTTGGTTAGCAGGGCAGATTTATCAAAAACAGGATTAATTAGATTCACTAATAAATAACTAGGCTGCATCAATAGAAAAAGTTTCATTCAAGCAGCATATAAATAATTTTTACTTTTCCAAAATTGCAGTAGCAAATCAGTTCAAAGGTCATTGTTTTCTTTCTCAGTTTTCCACTTAATTCCAAGGCTCAAATTTGCTCTGGGGTGAGATGATTTCATTGTTCATTTAATGTAAACCAACTGTGTGGTCCAAAATCTCAGTTTTTGGCTGCCTTCCCGCTACACTCCCAGTGAGAACGTATCCTGCTGGATGGACTTAAAGACCATCTATATACTATTTTTTCAGCCCCAGTAAACTCCAAATCTCTCTATACACCTGCCTACTGAAAAAAAAATCTGTGTATAATCGTATCTACTGGGTCCCAGGTTTAGCAATCCTAAAACCACAGCTCCAGGTCACCACTGCAAACCTGCTCCTCCGGCTTCTTCAACTCAGTGCACCACCTTTCCCTAGGAGTTACGTGTGTGTGTGTGTTTAATCCTCACCCAAGGATAGTTTTTCCATTGATTTTTAGAGGGAGGAAGGAGAGAGCGCGAGAGAGAGAGAGAGAGAGTGTGTGTGTGTGTGTGTGTGTGTGTGTGTGTGTGTGTGTAGGAGAGAGGGGAGAGGGAGAGTGAGAGTGAGAGATAGATATTGGTTGGTTGCCTCTTGCACACACCCTGATGGGAGCTGGGGATTGAACCTGCAAACCAAGTCTGTGCCCTTGATCAGTAACCCCCCAATCCTTCAGTGCTTGGGCTGACATTCTAACCACTGAGCATACTGGCCAGGAGTTACTCTTCTCTTGTTCCCTGACTCCCCAGACACATGCAATTCATTAAGTTCTCTCACTTCTACCTATAAAATACAGGGTGTGCCCCCCAAAACGTATACACACTTTAATGGCTTAGCTCAATTTTGAAAATTAAATCTATTTTAATAAACACTGCTTTCACAATCATTCAGTCTGTGTATACATTTTTGGGACGTCCTATATATCCCCAACTCTAACACTTTAGACACCTGTACCCCTACACTGTAGTGTGACTACACCTACTTTTGCTTAGATAATGGCAATAGCTTCCCCCACCCCCAGACCAGATTTTCAACCTTTTTCACCTCATGGCATATAAACTAATTACTAAATTTCTGTGGCATCTAAAAATAATTTTTTTTTTTGCCAATCTGAGAAAAAGAAAAGCTATAATTTTGATTAACATAGGACAGATATTATTTTTTTTTGCTGCTGCCTTTTTAAAAATTTTATATCTAAGGGAAAAAAGGTCAGTGCCCCTGATTAAATAGTAAGGTATTTTAAGTTTTTAGAATTCTTGTGGAATACCAGTTGAAAATTGCTGCCCTAGACTATTCTCAACATAACAGAGAGAATTATGAAAGAGAAATCAAATCTAACCAGTCCTCTGGCTTTCCATCAAGCTCAGGATAAGATGCAAACACTTTTCCAGAAGCTACAAAGCACCCACATTGTCTTTCATGCTTGTTTACTCCTTCAGAATCTGAGTCATTTCAGAAAGGCACTTAGCTTGTTCTTGTCTTATTCACTACTATTACCTCCAGCGTCTACAGCAGTACCCAGCACAATCATACACTCAATATTCATGGGATGAACTATTTTTTCTGTTACAATACAGATGAGCATTATGAGGCCCTTACCTGGCTGCAAATAAACTTATAAATTTAAGGATTTGATTTTTTAATCAGCATAATTTTAGAATAGTAGCGTTTAAAACATGAGTTACACCCAGCCTGTGGTTCAATGGTTGAGTGATGACCTATGAACCAGGCCATAGATCAATTTCTGGCCAGGGCACATTCTAGGGTTGTGGGCTCTATCCCCAGTGGAGGGCATGCAGGTGGCTGATCAATATTCTCTCTCATTGATGTTTCTATTTTCCCCTCTCTGAAATCAATAACAATACATTAAAAAAACAAAAACAAAAACCAAGAGCGATTATTTTACCTTTTATAGTAACTCTGGTTGATGATTCTAGAGGTGTAAACCCTTGAATAAAATTTCAAATCATAAATACATATTTTACTAGAGGCCTGGTGCACTATATTTATGCACTGGGGACAGGCTGCTCCTCAGCCTGGCCTGTGTCCTTGGTGCTGCTGCGGAGGCGCGAGAGGCTCCTGCCACCACTGCTGCGCTGGCCAGCCATCAGTCCTGCTTGTGGCTGAGTGACTGCCCCCTGGTGGTCATTGCACGTAATAGCGACCAGTTGTTCTGCCATTTGGCTGATTTGCATAATAGGCTTTTATTATATAGGATGCTTTATGACTGCTCCGCTGTTGTAGCTCTTAATACATGGAAAAACAGCTTTTAATGAGAGGGCTGACAAATGGGCAGAGGAAAGCACACATGCAAAAGCAAAGTGAGGGTTGAATAAGCAGGATATTCGCTGTACCAGCAAGTTATTTTGGGATGGTTCTAAAATATACTTCAAGGAAGATGAAGCTGGAGAGCACAAAGGGCCCTAACATACCTGGCAAAGGATCCAAACAGCAAGCACCACAATCTCTTCTCGTATTTGCATTTTAGAAAGCTTCCTGTGGTGAATATGGAGGATGATGAGAGGGTGTGGTAGAGAGGCCACAACCAGAGTGGAGGCAGAGAGACAAATTTTGGACTCCAGGCAAAGAAATATGGCTATGGTTAGGAAGATGTCCCTTTGGGCTCCAGGCTGGGATGTGCAGCTTTGAGGCCTCCTTGTATTCTCTACTCCAGGGTGGCCTGAGTAGACCTTTGGCAAACTATCACTGATTTTGTAGATGTTTCTTTCTGAAGATTTTTGGTATTCCATTATCTATGGAATTCTCATTCTTAATCCCAACCCATTTTATTAGCCTGAAATGAAGTCATTAACCAGTTGTTTATTATGTGTGTCAATTTTAGCAAGACGTCACACAGCCTAAGCTGGTTCAGTAATGGTCATGTGTTCTCTGATGACAAGGTCCTCAGGATGTGCTGGTAGTGGTGGGAGGGGACTGGGGAGTGTGCTGGGTTCACAAATGCTCTGTGACACATAGCCATTGCCTTTTTCAAAACATGTAAAGACGCTTCTTCTCTTTCAAAAGTTTGTGTCCCTAGGTGGACTGCTCAAAACGACTCCTGAGGCCAGGAGCCAGATGATATATGTCTTGCCTTTAAGTAAAACTACTTGTTTAAAGGAAAACCATTGCCAAGAACTCCAACGCTAAATTTAGAAACACTTAAAGCTTTCTCCAACCTCTTCTACTTCTGCTCCAATCAGCACCCTCCAACCTTATGCAATCCTCATTATTAGTTCTGAATCAGACTGCTTTTAACAACCAGGTACAGTAATGTAGTTACTCCACTTCCACTTGCCTCATCTTTTTTGAAGAATACTTCTCTCAAAATCTAAAAAAAGGAAGCCACGACCAGGGATTAAGTGTTCATAATATCTATTTTTATTACGAAAACATTAAATTTTGACACATTGCTTCATTTGCTTTTTAAAAATCTATTATCTGACTTAAATCTATTCAGCAAAAATGCCAATAAATTACATAAATCATAGTTTGGGTCTTTTTAAAACTAGGAACATAATATGTTTTATTATAATCAAACAATACTAAATCTGAGTTGCGTGAGTGGTTAACTTGTATTTTAACATTTAGCTTAAAACCAAAACCAACCACATGCTAATACACTGTTGAAAAAGTTTCTCAGAAATGCTTTCCTTATGGCTGTGTCAGTCAGTATCCTTCACTGAGGTACAGAATGCAGCGTTATCAGGTGTCAAGGCACTCATTCCAAATTGTCCTGTCCTGCTCAACTCAGGAGCAGCACTGGATGGAGGGATGATGATATATATTAGCCCCCCCACCTCCTGCTCACACTATCTTGCCTTTAAATAACTTCATTTCTTTAAAAGGAAATCATTAGCTAAGAACTCCAACACTGAATTTAGAAACGTGATTCCAATACACATTAAATCTAATGTGTTAATAGTCACAAGTTCTGAAAAGTGAAAATAGATAAATACAGAACTTATGTAAACAACCAATGAACTAAGGCAAACGGCACTGCCATTATATGCCTTAAAATGGTATATTTTTGGTGTTCTTTAAAAATTACATTTTGGGACAGCTCAGATGAATTTCCATAAAAGATGTGTGTTTTGCATAAAGTTAGAGTTTGAAGGGTTTTCAACATGGGTGGTGGTGTTTAAAAAAATACATTGATAGTCTTATTAGTGAACGTTTCCCGCTTGGTTTAAGTTTTATTGTGGAGGCAAACCAAAGCACTCTCTTAAGACTTCATGTTCAAAGTTACGATTAGGTCCTTATCATTCCTAGAAAATTTAAAGCTAATTATCACCCTGGCTCTTGTCATCATCTTCATCTTCATCATCCTCATCATCTTGGTCTGCGGATTCATCCTCTTCTTCCTCCTAATCAGAAAATACACATTTAACATTATGAAGATTTCTCACTTCATATTCAATACATTATATATCTATTGATAAATTCTTTAATCTAGTAAGTATACTAGATTACACACTATCTGATTTTCTTGCTTTAATGCTTAAGGATCCATCCATCCATCCATCCATCCATCCATCCATCCATCCATCCATTTAAAATTCTTTATTGTTTAAAGTATTACATAAGTATCCTTTCCCCCAATTGTCCTCTCTCTGGCCGCTCTGCCATTTTTAATATGATACAAGACAGATAGGTTAACTGGCCGACAGATGGCTATATCTCTCACCTGAACCAAAGTCAAAACAGAATGGCACATTTGGGTGATAAGAGTCTTGTTATGACAGGAACAATAATATCAATTCACTTTCTAGGCTCGAAGCCCAAAAGAGAACAGTTAACAAATGCTGAAAACTGTGCCCAATCTGCATCTTAAGTCAACTCGGTGAACACCGTGTAGATGATATTGAATTCATGCACCTAATGTATCTATGCCTGTAATTCTAGATATATAGGTTTATTTCCATAGTACAGTATAACTTTTAAAAATACATTATAAAGAAAGATAATATATAAGATTTCAATCTTACTGGATGACCGAGTTCCTTGAGTCTATCCTTTAATGACAATATTTTCTGATCCTGATCAGCCAACAGCACCAAGAGATCATCCTGTTCTTTTTTAGCATCTTTAATGTTCACCTCTAGCTGGTTTTTCTCATTTTGTAAAATGACAATGGTACTGTTAGATGAGTCCAGCTGCTCTTTAATAGAAGTTCTTTCCTCAGACAGAGCTTTAATTTCATTCTAGGAAAAGAAAGGTGAAAATCATGAATCTAAAATTAGTATTAACTCTCCTAAGGTTTTTAACAAGTAGATTCTTTCTATGATAAATCACTGTATCTGTCCGATCTGCGGAGTTTAAGGGTAGAGGCTTTTTTGTTTTGTTTTTAAATTTTGTTTATTGATTTTAGAGAAAGAGAAGGGGTGGGGGGAGAGGGAGAAGGAGAAGTGGAGAGGGAGGGGAGAGAGAGAGAGGGAGAGAGAGAGAGAACACATTGGTTTGTTGGTCCACTTATTTATACACTCATTGGTTGCTTCGTGTATGTGCCCTGACCAGGGATCAAATCCGAAACTTTGGTGGACTGGGACGACACTCTGAGCAACTCGGCCAGGGTAATAGGACGCTTAAAACATACATTCATTCAGTAACATGAGAATTTATGTTAGGTTATACATCACAGATGGTTACTGTGAAAAATAGTCTAACATAAAAAAATATTTTTAATCAGTTATTCCTCAATAAATCCCAAGAGACAATAACATTTCAGATAACCAGAAGAATAAATATACAAAAAATTTTATAGCAAAAGCCTGGTTAGCATCGGAATTAGAACTAAAGTTTTTTTATTTTATTTTTTAAAACGTTTATCCCAACTTTATACATACAATTAAAGGCAGAAAAAATAGCTTCAAATAAAACCAATGGGTTAAAAATAATTTGACCATAATCCAAAAGGCATAATTACACATTCTTTTTCTTTTTTTTTCTGCATGTCTTTTATTATCATTTTTTCTTCTTTTTTTTTTTTTTTTTACTATTACCTCATTCCTTTCTTTATATTATTTATTCAGGTTTCTATGTCACAAAACAGGCTGCAGGATTTCATGTGCCTGTGTTCTTTGGCCTATGAAAAGCTTACATGTAACTTGTGTATTAGCCAAACTTGTATTCCTGCTTCTTATTGTGATTAGAGATTGATAAGAAAACCATTTTCACTTTCAAAGTACATTCTGATGTCTTTTTACTTTATATATTTGGTACAATTATTTGAAAAAGCATTAAAAAATCTTTATTTGTACCATTTTGGGTAACAGAATAGAAAGACTGTAAGATAACATTACACCTCATTAGCTTTCTTCATAAATCTAAGGATTTGAGAAATTAAGTGAAATAAATTCTAATTTCCTGGAGTTCATTTCATATAATATGCAGTAAACCAAAGCCAACCTTTAACTCTTTAGTCTCTTGTAATAATGCCGAAAGCCTTCCTTCTACATCAGTAGTTTTTGCAGCTATTGCAGCTTCACTCTCTCCTGATACAGGAACTGATTGTGCCTGAAAGTAGAAATTAGGAAAAAAACAGTTTCTTTCAAGTTACGATCAATATGAAACTCCAATGATTTAATTTTATTTTAAAATTTTATTTCCAATAACAGAAAATATGATTCCCTCACATATTTACAGGAATAAAGTGCTCTCCCTAGAAAGATGAGTGATCTACAATCAAGTAGAAGACAAGAGTGGTGGGGCACCAAATCTCAGCAGAGGAGGAGGAATCCTAGGTTAAGTTGCCTCAAGATCACACCAGGAAAGCAATCAACAAGACAGCTCTCACGTAGCTATAACAGCATTTAATAGCAGGAAATATTTTTCAAAGTCATTTCCTCATAAAATTCCTATAATAGTTTAGTTGACACTATCATCTCAGAGAGATAGGTGGGAACCCTAAGTTGAATGCCATTAACTGGTGAAATGTAAGTATTTTCTTAAAAGCTATAGGAAGTATTCTTAAATCAATTTTTCAGTCTTTCCCTCCCTTTTTCCCCCCTATAAAATACTGAAGTGAGGTGCTGGTTTAGCAAATATCTGAACATGTGTAAAGGACTTTAGGATTGGCGGAATCTAGCAGAGTTTTGAGGTATGTGTTAGACAAAGCCTACATGGCCTTGGAGATATGTTGGGAGAATATGATCATTAAAGACAATTCTGGTCAGGGCTCAGAAAGAAAAAAAGAGAGCTGTGGAGAAAGCTATAGAGAAAATGAGTATCATCACGAACAGAATGCTGATAGAAATATGGATGTTTAAGTGGTTTTGGCTGAGATCTGAGATGGAAATCAGGAAAGTGGAGGACAAGCAATTCTTGTTATAAAGTGACAAAGAACTTGGCTAAATTATGTCTAGTGTTCTGTGGAAAGTAGAATTTTTAAGTGATGAACATGGACACTTAGCTGAGGAGATATCTAAACAAAGTCTCAAAGGCATGGTCTAGCTCCTTGCTGCTTATAATACAATGTGAAAGGAGAGAGAAACTGAAGAAGGAAATGTTAAACAAAAGGTAATGAGAATTTGAAAATTTAGAAAATCTCCAGCCTAACTCTATTGCAATAAATGTCAAGGCATATTCTGGTGAAACATCAAGGGGGTGGCTGGACAACCGTTTGTAAAGAGGTTGCATGTGTGACTCATGGAACGAATCAACCACTCAGCAGAAGCTGGAATAGGAAGGCCTTCTTATCCGATGGCTTGGACCTGAGAACTGCATGGGTTCTCGAGAAGGTTTCTCATAATTTTATACTAGCAGTAAACCTGCTAATAACTTGGACCGAAGGTACAGACAGGATAAAATACAAAATATCAGCAAAATGAGCCAGTAAGTATCTGATTAAATTGAATGGGTGAGTCTAACTGTAATATTGAGGCTGCCTCCATGGACAAGAAGTCGATGTGACTAGAACTCTGGCTAAAGGGAAGGTACTTTTTGACAAATTTGCTTCTTTTCCATTAGTCGTTGAGAAACAACACCTTAACCTTGTGTTTACTATTTTTTAGGAGAAACAAATTTAACTAACTTACAAATGCTTCTGTTTTCTGTAACAACTCCTGCTTTTCTGTCTGTAGTTTGGTAATCTCCACAGATTTAGAGTTTAACTGAGACTTTAATGTTGCCAGTTCCTAAGAGAGAAAAAAACAGTTGAGGTGTAAACTTAAATGGAATTTCATCAAGGAAATGTCTATTTTCAGGACATACATACACACAAGTTTACCTCCTGTTTTTTTTTTTTTTTTTTTTCTCGTTTCAATTTAAAAAACAATATTTTCTTTTGGACAGAAATGTTTAAATAGCCAATATACTTAACAAAACAATTATAATGGTCAATATTGTATGGATTAGGCAAAAGATTTTATATCTTCATATTTGTAGCTTATAAACATAATTATGTTCCCTTAATTGTTAGTTCACTAATAATCTACATATAACCTGGTGAGATGCTGAGATCTGTTAAAAAGAACACCATTAAAAAAATTAAAAAACCACAATAACAAGCAAATATAATATCATTACCTTATAATTATAATAGTTTCTGGATTTGCACATGGCTTTCTTCACTATCAGTTTTTGCTTGCATCACACAAAGTAACTCTAGATTAATAGAACTGAAAGGTGGCTACTCTATTACAATTAAACAAGACAAAAAATAACTTGGAGCAAGCTGCACAATTACCTGTTTTAATTCTGCAATTTGTTCAGAATTTCTAGCTGAAGCGGTTGCTTCATTTGTGTCCGAGGATGTTTGGGAAGATTTCTACAAATAGCACAGAAATGAAGCTATGAAATAAATTCAGACTACAAAGATAGGAAAAAAACAAAACTAAACAAAACAGAACTGTACATGCAGATGTTTACCAAAAAAATTCATACCAACATTTTTTTTTTCATTTTTTTTAATCTCAGAGAGTAAGGGAGAAACACTGATGTGAAAAAGAAACATCGATTGGTTGCCTTCTTTAAGTGCCTCAACCAGGGACTGAACTCATAACCTAGATAGGGAATTAAACCCTAAACTCTTTGGCATATGGGATTATGCTCCAACCAACTGAAAAACCCGGTCAGGGCCCAACATTTTATTATTATTATTATTTATTTATTTATTTTTTAAAAATATATTTTATTGATTTTGTACAGAGAGAAAGGGAGATAGATAGAGAGCTAGAAACATCAATGAGAGAGAGTCATTGATCAGCTGCCTCTTGCACACCCCCTACTGAAGATATGCCCGCAACTAAGGCACATGCCCTTGACCGGAATCGAACCCGGGACCTTTCAGCCCCCAAGCCTGTCCATTGAGCCAAACCAGTTTCAGCCCAACATTTTATTTTGATAAGATTTCAAGATACCACATATGGTCTACAACTTTTTCATAGTTAAATTGCTTACAGTCAATAAGTGAGGAAGTAGTGAAACTTCAGACAGTCTGACACAGCTCATATTCTAAAATCTTATTATGATACTTTGGCTTAAGGGATTGCCCCCCCAAAAATAACCAGGATCATGAGGATTACTCTTGACTTCTTATTTAAAAGTTTTAAAGATTTACTTACCAATTTTTCAATCAAAGAGTCCTTTTCAGCCAGCTGGCTTCGTAAAAGTTCCTGATTACTTTTTAAATTTTCTATCTCTTCTCGCAACCTACCAATTTCTTCTGGTTGAATGCCATTCATTTGAGCCCCATCACCGTGAGAACTTTGATGATGATTGTCTTTTCCTATTAGACAAGCATAAAATGTGAAAAGCTAACACAAAACTTAAGTTTTTCATTTTTTGAATTAGAAGATTCAAATATAAATTTAGTTTGGCAGCACTTTTTTGTAAACACATTTCATTTTTGCAAAATAGTGTGTTGATAAAAATAACTATAATAACTAATGATATTTTCAAGGATTCTGGGAGAAAAGGAGAATAGTCTTATTAAGATTAAACTGCATGGTTTGGTGATTTAAGATAAAAAATTATACTAGTTTCAATTCCAATTCTGCCAACATAAGAGAAAAAAAAAATCCCCTAAAAAATGTCCTGAAAGGAATAGCTTTCTATATGGACTAAAATAACTGACAAATTGTCATAAAGGAAGTAAAAGATAATTTTTCTGAAAAATTTAATCACTTTGATATAAATAAACTACATTTCTAAGTAGCTAGCATTCCTATCATAAGCACTATAGGGTGATACTCTTTACAAGAATTTTAGCTCTTACCATGTGCCAGGCACTGAACTAGAATTTTACTAATATTATTTCATTTAATTTCCAAATGACCCAGATGTTAATATCAGCTCAACTTTATTGACAAGGAAATAAAAAAATGAGACCAGTCATCTTTTTTAAAAAAATATTTTTATTGATTTCAGAGAGAAAGGGAGAAGGAGAAACATTAATGAAGAGAGAGAATCAATGATTGGCTGCCTCCTGCATGCCTCCTACTGTGGATCGAGACTGCAACCCCAGGCATGTGCCCTGACTGGGAACCAAACCTCGACCTCTTGGTTCATAGGTTTACGCTCAACTACTAACCATGATAGCCAGACTAGACCAGTCATTTTACACTGGTTATACCTCAGAATCACCTAGGGGAAGTTCTTTTGGAGAGGATCCAAGATGGCTGCGCAGGTAAACACCTAACCGCAGCCGCACACAATTTCAATGAAATACAACTAAAATATAAAATGGACATTGCCAAAGCTACAGGAAGTCGACTGACTGGAAATTCTACAACAGAATCACCTCGGGATGAGCCTGTAATAATTACTGATGCATGGACCCAAACCTGACAAATTAAATCAGAAACACAGTGAGTCTCAGAATTGGTTCTATTTATTTTTTAATTAAAATATTCTTTATTTTTTAGCCCTAGCTGGTTTGGCTCAGTGGATAGAGGGTCTGCCTGTAGACTGAAGAGTCCTAGGTTTAATTCTGGTCAACAGCACATGCCCAGGTTGCAGGCTCAATCCCCAGTAGGGAGTGTGTAGGAGGCAGTTGATCAATGATTCTCTTTTATCATTGATGTTTCTATCTTTCTCTCCCTCTCTGAAATCAATAAAAATATATTTTAAAAATAAATAAGTAAAAATAAAATACCTTTTTCTTCTTCAATTATAGCTGACATACAATATTGTATTAGTTTTAATGTATACTATAGTAATCAGACATTTATAAATCTAGTACCCATCCGAAAAGTATTGGTGCTATATAAAAACAAAAATACCCCCCAAAACTCAGGAGATTCTAATGTACACCCAAAGGCTGAAAGATCAATGAACCAGAAAATCAAACAGGTACCAAGGAGGCTGAACTTCAAAATCTGATTTACATGTTTATCACAGTGATTGATTTAAGATTAAAGAAAGACTAGTCTACAAAAACAATCTGTTTGACTGTTTGACAACTCTTGGACACATTGCAACAGTGATGGCCAACTATACGTACCTAGCTGTACTTTAAGAAGGTTATACTGATCTTTGTGTTGCTGAATCTGAGATACTTGCTGAGTGACTGCTGTTTGGAGCTGTTCATTTTGACATTTTAATGTAGAAATCTGTTGTTTTAAATCTTCAAGTTGCAGATCCTGTGAAATAAAACATAATTCAAGTGTTATAAATTCATACCAATTAGCATTAAGAAGGTGAACAAATTAAAAACAAGAGATTACTTTGGGTCAGGATGTTGAAGTACTCACTTCTAAAACCATTCAATAATTAGGCAGTATATGCACCAAGGCCAGTTAACATAAAACCCCACTAATAGCACTATCATACATCCTGTAACCTATCTACAATTATTGTGAATGGAGAGATCAATTTAAAAAATTCCATTTTATGGTCCATCAAATCATATAAGAAATTTAAACCAAACTACTTAAAAAAGGTAGTATATGCATTATACTTATGCACCTATATTACTTTTCACATTAAAGACAATCATGTAAAAGAACACTTGTAATCTTTAATTTACTGACCATAATTTTCTCATGTTGTTAACACAGTTTCATAATCATAACTTTTTTTGTTAATCCTCACCTGAGGATATTTTTCCCACTAATTTTTAAGGAGAGTGGAAGAGGGGGGAGACACATCAACTGGTTGCCTCTTACATGCGTCTTGACCAAGGCCGCAGATCAAGCCTGCAACCAAGATACGTTTGCTTGACAGGAATGGAACTCAAGATCCTTCAGTTCAGAGGCCGATGCTCTAACCATGGAGCCAAACAGGCTAGGGTTATGACCATCATTTTTAATGCTTACTTAGTATCTAATCAGTAAATGCACTATGATTTATATTCAAAAGCAACACTGAGGCTACTTTCTATTTTTCTAAATGATAAATTTATTACCATAAGTATGTTAGTCTATATAATTGTTCTAAATTTTGAAGAATTTCCTTAGAATGGATATTCAAATGTCAAAGTGTATATAAACATTTTATAGCTCCTGTGCTTATTGCCTAATTGTCAAATAGCATTATAAATGGTGTAAATATTTAAAAGAAATATTTCTAAAGAAGAGTCATTATAAGTAATTGTGTCAAATCACTCTTTTTCCAAATTAACCACATTTATCAGCTCCAAGTGTAGGATACAACATCACATTCCAAGTATTTATTTTCTAGTGTTCTAAAGACACATATTTTACTAAGATATAGATGAAAAATGCTAATAACTATGGGTAGTTTAATAATACAAATTTGGATTATTTAAGGCTGATTCTAATTTACTGATTTGCTTATAAACTGAAAGGCTCAGACTGAACCATAAATATAACACTACTAGAGGCCAGTGTAAGAATTCATACATGGGTGGGGTCCCAGGCCTGGTTGGTGATTTGGGCCGTCTCACCCAGTCCTGATTGGGGCGATGGGGGCTGGCTGGCCTGGAGGCTCCAGGGTGTGTGCAGCCTGTCTTGCCCAGTCCCAATAGGCTGGACCCCAGCAGCAAACTAACCTAGCAGTCAGAGCATCTGCTCCCTGGTGGTCAGTGCGCAGCATAGCAACTGGTCGAGTGGTCGACTGAAAGGCTGACCACTGGGTTGGACACTTAGCATATTAGGCTTTTATATTTATAGATTTTTATTCTTTCTTACAATTTCAATCTCAACAATATAGACTATGTAGTTGAAATTAGCACACACACAAGAAAAGCACACACAGAGGGGTTTTCTCATTTAGAGGGCTCCATCCAAGCTCTTACTTGCCACACCTGCCTCAGGCTGTGCATAATGGCAGGAGTGGAGGCTGTCCCACATGAACTGCCACCAGTGTACTGGAATTTATGTCACTGGGATTTTAATATCAATAATCTCATTTCCAGATAATACTACAGCACTTTATACAACTCCAATCAAGATACCAGGATGAGCCATGAAATGAAAGAAAAAACTAAGCAACATTTTTAAGGAAAGCAATGGAAGACTGAAGGTGCTCAACACAATGCAAATGGGAGCTTCTCTGGTATCCTGAAAAGAAAATGTCAATTGATGACTTTGAAAATCTAATTTCAACTAAATTCATAGTTATTCACTCTAATACATCAGCTCCCTTTCTTCTTCCCTTGTTCTAACTCAATATCAGCTATTAATTTGTATAAGAAAGTGATCTAAGGATCATATTTGACCCTTTATCCTTTCCCACACCTGCATCCAATCATTATCAAGTCCTGCCACTTTTATCTTTCTTAGTTTCCACATTTTTCAGATCGACTCTATACCACAAAGTATGAGCTGTAGAGTCCCATTAACACATGTATCTGAATTCTGTTCCACCACTCACAAAGTGACCCTGGACAGGTTAAATTCTCTGTAGCAGAATTTATGCTAAACTGAAGACATTAACTAATTTGTAAGGATGATATGAAAATTAAATGATTGTGTTTAAAATGTGCTTATTGATCACCTAGTACCTAGCAAACAAAAACTGGCAGCCATTATCATTATGGTCATCATCAGTGATCCAATTTCCTCCCCTAGCCCACCACAACCACCTCCTTCTTCGGCTCCCTCCTTCAAGCCTTGCCTCCTTTATATAGGTACCAAATGCTCTATGTATATGCCAGTTACATCTCTTGCCTCTTTCTTCTCGCTCCTTTTGCCTAGCTTACTCCTGACCATCCTTTTGGGGCTCGGCTTCTGTTTTCTCAAAGCCTCTGTTTCTACCTAGATAAATTAGGTGCCTCTCAATGCTGCCATACAGCTTTGATTATCTCTTATCACTAGAATTAATCCTATATAATAAAACCCTATATACAAATTGACCAAATGGTGGAATGATCGGTCCTATGACATGCACTGACCAGGGGGCAGATGCTCAAAGCAGAAGCTGAGCTCACGGCCAGTGAGTGCAGCGGCAGTGATGGGAGCCTCTCCTGCCTCTGCGGCAGTGGTAAGGAGCAGTGAGAGGGCAGAGGCTGGGCTGAGGGGACTCTCTCCCCCACAGTGCTTGAGTGTCATGCACTGGCCTCTAGTATATTATAATACACTAGTAACCCTGTGCACGAATCCATGCACAAGTAGCTTGCTCCCGCTTGCCTCAGTTGGCCACCCACCCACCACTACTGGTAGCTCTCTGTTGCTTATAGCTTGCTGCCCCTCCCTCCTGGCTCCTATGCCCTCTCCCTGTATTTTCCCCCCCGCTCATAGCTTGCTGCCCTGACCCCTCCTGTAGCTTTTCTCTGCCCGCTAGTAGTTCGCTGCCCCACCCTCCTGCAGATCAGTAATCTGGTTGTTATTCCTCAGGGTGTAACAGATAATTAGCATATTCCTCTCTTATTACATAGGATGTGTCATAATAATCTATTTATAGGTTTGTCTCCCCATGAGATTGTGATAGGGAAACTATCACAATATCCTGCAAACTGCTTAAAACAGATGAATACTCAGTTTACTGAATACTCAGATGTTTCTGAATTATTTAGGAAAACATGTTTTACTTTCTGTATCTTCTTACATTTGAAATGCCAGGGAAAACTCTTTTCTAAAGTAGTAAAGTATTATGTCAGAGAGTTATTTATCAGTACGCACTTGCTCTCGAATCACATTTTTGTAGTGAGTCACAATACTGTCATGCTGTTCTAATGTTTTCTTCTCTTCTTCTTCCTTTTTATCTTCTTCACTGGACTTATAAATAGCCTTAGTTATCACACCTATAAAAGAAAGCTTATTTAAAAATTGTTTTAAACATTTAAAATACTATGTTATTAAGAATTAATCAGGAAAAACATATTCTGCACATGACCAGAATACACATATACAATATAATCATAGGTACTTTGTAATGAAAGTACCAATATAAAAGTTCTTATCTTACCTTCAAGTTCTTTTACCAGCTTTGTAAACTCATGATCAAACACCATGTATTCTGGAGTGGGAAAGTTGGGCTGGGGTTTCTGAGATGCTCTCGAATACAACTCATGTTTGCTAATAAATCCTAGTTTCTCTATGAAATTCTCTTTGCCAATCCTCTTCTCTATTAGTTGTTTCAGTTTCTCTCTACAGAGATAAATATATTGAGATGCTTAAAAAAAAAGTCATGACGAAACATAAACTTGGTTTACATTATACTTTGGCACAAAAATATTTATCTTTTTCTCTTGATAACATTAATATCATTTATTCTAGCACTTCCCACTTACTTACTTCATGTAGTTCTCAAGTGAGTTATCATTGAAATAAATAGAAATGCCCAATAGAAGGGCACATAAGCCTTGGACCAACTGCTCTTCCTCTCCAAGATTTTCTGCAATTTGCCCAGTAAGCTGAAATCTTTGTTAAGGAGACTAATGGTTCATAATATCTAGAGCATTTTATTTTATAATTTGAATTTGACATGTATTTCATGTAAGAGTTCTATAAGAAGTTCTATACAGTCCTAGCGAACACACACACACACACACACACACACACACACACACACCCCTTAAGCAAGCACCATAATCACTTTAACAGTTTAAAAAGTTCAAATATAGAAAATTCAAATATTTGGAGCATAGAGCTACTTCAAACTGAGAAGAAGAAATAAAATGACAATGATAACTACTTATATATATTTTACACCAATAGAAAGGATACAAAGGGAACATTGGCTGAATTGTGAAGAAAATGCGTTACCGCAATGGGACAGTTACTTAGCCAGGTACAAAGCAACATCAGTAATCCAACTCTTGTCTGTATTTTGCTTCCCTGAAATAGATAAGTCAGCAGAAACTCCATTTTACTTTTTTTTTTTTTTTTCAAATTTAAAGTTGCCCTAAGATCCTTCCCCATTCGCATAAGAACATATTTAACATCTTATAAAAAATGTGTCAGGAATCCAGATTTTAAAAATTGAAGAAGATAATGCATTCTTGTGTCCTCTATGAGCTGTACTGCATAGCAAGAAATGAACAGTAAGGAATCAGAACTGATTCATGTTCTTAAACATATCCTGGGTCATCTAAAATACTATTAGTGAAAAAACCTGGTCTGCTAAGGAGGAAGCATTTTGTATAGATGCTTTACAAAATGTATCAATCCTAAGTCACTTTATAAAAAAATTAATTTGCCAGACAAATTTTTGATGTTTCAATTAAAAGTTTAAAAACAAGTTTCGAATACAAGGACAAATTCTACCTCCTTCAAAAAACATTGAGAAAAATACAAAGAAATAATCGTCTGAATTATTTAGTTAAGTTTCATTAAAGAATATATTCTCTAACAGAAAAATAAACAAACTATGTTACAGACTCACTGACAACATGAAGGATAATAAAAAAATCACAAACATAATGAAGGAGAAAAAGATTTAGTTAAGTGCCTCAAATCACTAACTACACTGCTGCAAAGTATAATTAAACAATACTGAACACTAACTTATCCATTCAAATTATAGTTTTCTAAATTTTGATACAACAGATTTATATCTGCTTTGTGGGAAATTCTGTTTGCTGATATCATCATCACAGCCAATATTATATTATTTAACCTATAATTTTTAATAAGAAAAACAAAACCTTTTGAAACAAAATAATGGGTATTAGCACAGTAATGTATTACTTTTGGGAGCAACTTCAGGAAATAACCAAAATACAATTATTCAAAGATCTAGAGAACTATGAATTTAAAGTAACAGCCATCACCATGTTTTGAAAATTTCTAGCATTAAATTCTAATTTAATGAGTCTTGATGTCAATATCTTGGCCTTTCTATAATCTATTTTCCAGTTTACTTAATATTTAAACAAATTTAAATTAGACCTCTTCAAATCATTTGCCAAGTAAGCATTAATTAGCATGAATTTAATTTCCACATGAATCATTTTTCCTTGCCTCTATGACTTTACTGTGCCCACAATATATCTTTATGTTATGCAAGTAAAGTGAAAAGTTAAAATATATATACTTATACACATATTCTCAATTGACTCTGTGCCTAAGGGCACTTAAAACTAATTACTCAAGTCATACATGCAAATGTTTTATTGATTTTCTCTGGTTATATATAAAAAGTTTACTATTACTTGGGACACTATTTGTAGGTGCCAAATATACCTATTTCATATACAAAGGCATTCTATCAAATCACTGGCTAATATCTGAGTAAACAAATGTGCAATTAGATTCAAATTTGAACCTTCTAGAAGTATGCCCTGAGGGTCTAATTGAAGGATAAGAAGAGCAAAGTCAAACGTAAGTGAGAGAGAATAGAATATCCCCTTTATTATAGTTACAAAATAATATAAAGTATACAAGAATGAACATAATTAAAACTGTATAAAACCTAACCTAGGAAAATTAAAAACCATCCCTAATGAGCACAAAAGTAGACGTAAATCAATAGAAAGAAACCATATTTAGATAGAAAAACTCAAGACCATGAATATATTAATTTTATATTAATTTATAAAATTTAGAAAATTAATGTGACCCTAATAAAAATACCAACAGATTTTTTCTTCTGGAACTAAACAAGTTGGTTCTCAAGTTCATATAGAAAAGCAAACAACAACAACAAAAAAACTAGGGAAACTATAAAAAAAAAAAAAAAGAGAGAGAGAGAAACGAATATAGTCAGCACAAAACCATCAGTGGGTTATAGGTGGACTTAAAAAATGTTGGAACAACAAGAGAGCTATCTAAAATCAGAGGTTCCATATCTCATATCTCTTTGAGGAAAGTGGAACAAAGACTTACATGCAAAAAATTATACTAGTAAGTAGGAGATAAAAATATGATCAAATTCCTTAAAATCTTGAAGTGGTAATTTCCTTTTAAGTATGGCAAAGTAGAAGCAATAAAAGGAAAGTGATACAAAAATAAAATAAAATAAATTCAAAACAAAACACTCAGGTCAAAAGACAAATGACACCTCAAGAGAAATATATTTGTAAATTATCACTGACAAAGGTTGAATTCCTTAATATAAAAAAAGTTCTTATAACCAATAGCAAAATGGGCAGATAAACCATGAAAAAAAAAAAAGTTCACAGAAAAACTTAAACTGATGTGCAAACATACAGGAAGTGATTCAACATTTTAATAAGGGAAATGCAGGTTAAAACTCAGTGAGATAACATTTTTATCATCTATCAGATTGGCAAGAATACAAGTTTGACACCATGCTATTCACTGTGGGGAAATAGAAAATCTAGTACACTGCAATTTTATTTCACTTAGCTAGTGGAAGTGTAAAATGGCATCAAATGAAAGAAAAAACCAAGGTGCAGAATAGTGGGTATACATAAAAAACATTGAGAGTATAAAATAAATGCCCATTACCTGACAAATCATTTGAATATAGAAGGCAGGGAACTAGGATATGGGCCAAGTTCTTATTGTATACCTTTCTACATCATTAAAAAAATGTTTATTTAAATCATTTTTATTTTTCAATTACAGTTGATATGTAAATATCATATTACCACTAGACACCGATGCATGAAGATTAGTGCAGAATGGGTCTTCCTTACCCTGGCTGCCAGCACCACCTTTGCTCTTTTGATTTCTAAACTATGTATTACCCATTTCAAAAGGACAAAAAAATGTTTTAAAGAACTGAAGTTTTAATTCTAAGAGTGGCAGTACAGTATCAGTAAAAAGGACATTTGGTTGGATATTGGAAGAACCAAATGTTATGTGGGCCCAAATTTCCTTTTTGTAACAGAGGGAGTTGGATTACATAATCTCATTAAGATGATACCAGGATTTCTAGCCTGACTTTAAAACACAATAGTTATAAAACCTTACCTAATTCTCTTCCACATCCTTAAATAAGGGCAATAGTTAATACCCAACTCACAAAGTTGTGGAAAGGATTAAATACATGTAAAGAACTTAGAACAGTGTATGGTAAATCTCTACAAATGTTATAAACTACTATCCTAGTTTCTAGCTCTGCAGTTCTATGACTCTCTAACTACTAGCATATTAAAAGCAGAACTAATGCTCTAAATTTAAAATAGATGGCAGAATAAAGCTGACCTGAAAAAAGAAAACAATAATATTAATTGCTGGGATAACTTTTTAAAATTATTACCTCAGTGAAATATAGGCAGCCCTTGAGTTGCTGCATTAAAAGAAACGCATGCATATTGAAGCATGCAAAGTGAGGACTATGTAATAATGCTCTTTTATGCAAATTATATCCTATCTAATAAAAGAGTAATATGCGATTTGACCATACCCCTGCTACACCCACAAGGCCATGCCCACCAGTCAATCAGGATTGAGTATGCAAATTAACCCAACCAAGGTGGCTTCGGCCATGGAGCGAGCAGGAGGCTTGGTTTTCCCAGCAATGGAGGAAGTCAAGCTTTCTGCACACCATGGCTGGCCGTGGACTCCACTCAAGGCTACAAAGTTTCAATTATAGAAGATAAATGGCAGTAGCCATGAAGCTGGAGAGAGCAGGAGGCTTGGGTTTCCCCAGGGGTGAAGGAAGCCAAATTTCCTGGCTGGTCCAGGTCTCCACTCAAGGCCACAAAGTTTCAATTATAGAAGATAAATAAATCCCAACAAAAATGGCTGTGGCCACTGAGCAAGCAGAAGGCTTGGGTTTCCCCAGCGATGAAGGAAGCCAAGCTTTTCACTGCTCTGGCTTGCCCTAGACTCTGCTCAAGGCTACAAAGTTTCAATTATAGCAGATAAATAAATCCCAGATACTAGGGCCTCCGTTTGGATTGCCAGGGGGTGTGGCCGGCCTGCAAACAGCCACAGGCCCCTCGCCCAGGCCATTCCATGCCCCAAGGGAACCCCCACCCTGATCTGAGACACCCTTTAAGGCAAACCAGCTGGCCCCTACCTGTGCACCAGGCATCTATCCTATTCTAATAAAATATGCAATTGACTGTCACTCTGACACAAAAAATGACTGCCCTCATGTGGTGACAAGATGGCCACCACAAGATGGCCAGCAAGGGAGGGCAGTTGGGGGGGACCAGGCCTGCAGGGGAGGGCAGTTAGGGGCAATCAGGCTGGCAGGAGAGCAGTTAGGCATCAATCAGGCTGGCAGGGGAGTCGTTAGGAGTGTTCAGGCTGACAGGCAGAAGTGGTTAGGGGCAATCAAGAAGGCAGGCAGGTGAGCAGTTGGGAGCCAGTAGTCCTGAATTGTGAGAGGGATCCCAGATTGAGGAAGGTGCAGGCTGGGCTGAGGGACACCCCTGCTCCCTGCATGAATTTCACGCACCAGGCCTCTAGTTATTCTGATGTTCCCCAAATCATGATACACAATAGAGAAAAATGGTAGATAATTAAATATCCAAATAAGGAGGTGGTTAACTAACCTATGGTTAACTAACCAATGGTATATCAATCTGGTAAAATATTATACAATAATAGCAAGTGATACTGATTTAGTGTTTAACAACATAACAAATAACTATAAGAAAAAATACAAACTATAAAATGTAATATATGAATACTGCTCTATAAATAAAACAGTACAGAAAAATGACTGATATTTTACCAGTAGTTTTCTTTGATAGTAGAATGAGGAACACTGTTTTCTTTCCATTTTCTATTTTTCTATATTTTTTAAAATGAAAAGAAAAACTACTATTGAGTGCAAAAATGCTATAGTATCTGTCCACTGTATCATCATGTTGAAAATAAGATCAATACAATAAAATCCTATTCAAGCTAGCTGCTCTATTCCTTAAAAATAAAATCAGAAACTGAGCATTGAAAGCTATCAAAATATCTTGTCATTGCTCTCTCTGATCATCTGATAGATTCTTCATAAGATAAACACCCAGAATAGCTAAAAGAAAGCCAGACCCCACTTTCTGACTACAGCTATTCTTTTTGTTTATGTTTACATATTTATGTTTGTCTATAGGTTTAAGTCAAGAAAAAGTACATACCCTATGCCACAGAGTATATGAATCATTGAAGATATTTTGAAAAACAAATAGACACTGAAATTATAATTTCAGACCACCCTAATGGTTTAATTACTAGAAATCACATAACAGGGTATTTTACAGGATGAAAGAGAACCACAAACAAAATAAGGCTGAATCATCTTACCTTTAATACAAGTTATTATGTTTCCCCTATTTTATTTTCTAAATAAATATCTCTTATTCCTACTTTGTGGATTTCAAGCTTAGTATTTTTCCATTCTTTGTAAAAAACATGAAAAGCCAATATTTTAAGCTTCTAGTGTTAAAGTTTTAAAATGAGATTCTAGAGTATTACTTTCTGTAGATTTATTTCCTAGTGGTGGCCTCTGGGCATAGAGAATTAATAGGAAAGGGACATGATGGAGCTTTCTAGGACTATAAATATGTTTTAAATGTTGTTTTGGGTGGTATTTTCAGAGATGTAGATTTAACCACCAAAAATCATCAGCTTGAACATTTAACTGCATTTTACTGTGTGTAAATTATATCTACAAAAAATTTCCTCTTAAATTACTGGCATGTATATTTATAAAATACTTTTACCTAGTATCAAAAATTCTTCAGGCCAAATATGTCTGTGTGTGAGTTGACATGTGTTAAATCATGCTCATAAACAGAGATACAATTCCTAACAGAGTCTCAGTTATTACTACCCACCACCACAACTGAACATATGCCCAAACATGAACATTAAGATACACTCCTTTTTTTTGCCAAACACTCTACAAAATCAGACCAAACCAACAAATCACATTTCCCCAAACAACCCACCAGACACACATAAAAAAACTAATCCCCAATATTAGCTGTAATATGATATATGGGTTATATCCAGAATAACCCGTAATATTTAATTTAAAATCTTTCAAATTACAAAATTATACTTACTATTGTATATTTTCAATAACCTAACTCAATGGTCGGCAAACTGCAGCTTGTGAGCCACATTCGGCTCTTTGGCCTCTTGAGTGTTCTAACGTCAATTCTTCAAAATAGACTCGCCCAGGCTGAAAACCGACTTCTGTGTATGGGCCACGAAGTTTCAATGGCACTGCACGTGAGCGCCCACACGTGGTATTTTGTGGAAGAGCCATACATACTCAAGGGGCCAAAGAGCCTCATGTGGCTCGCGAGCCACGGTTTGCCGACCACTAACCTAATTAATATAAAAATCATCATTTTTTCATATGATGACTAACTTAATGGCAAAATTATTAATCGCAAATTTTACTACCGTTGAAATGTTTTTAGGGGAAAAGAAAAAGCAAGCTTGGGTGAAAAACAAAAACAAAAAACCACCAAAAGCCCAAGCCAAGGAATTTCTGAAAGTGTAAGCATTCCAGGAGGAAGCACAGTATAGCTACAGCTGGTCATTCCCACAGTTCTTAGGAAAACCACTACAATATCCCAAGGAGAAAAACTGTAGAGACACTTATGATAGAGGATCAACTTGCTGGCACATGAAAAGTGTGAGTAGAATATAACTTCAAACAAGCGGTTAAAAAAAACCAATCAGCAAACCCAAGACAAAGAAAGCCTTGCTGTAAGAGGAAAATGCCTAGGTTTACAGAAATGATACATACCCGTCTGTCGATCTTATCACCCTGTAAATTATACATTAAAAATTATTCATAAATATTACTGCTTTATAAAAATTTAAATCTAGAAAAAATCCCTCAAATACAATTTCTATAAACCCAAACTAATACTTTGGGACAGCACAGTTCTAATCTTTTATAATATAACAATGCACATATATTTTAGAGGAGAAAGAATAATTTTATAGCACTGTGATTACTAAGAGTGGAAAGACACCATTATTTTGAGGATTTCTCTTTATGCATGAATTATAATTACAATGTTAGAGCAAAGTCTATAGTGATGGTGGTTAGACAGTTAATTACTGTTTGACTTAAGAAAAGCTGTTTTCAACTGACAGCAACATGAAAATACCAAATATTAAATAAGTAAAAATATGAATATTTTGGGATAGAGTTTTAAACAATAAGAGATAAATGGTAAATCAAAGCTATAAGCTTTCCATCGAAGTAATGTTAAACAACAAAGGGAGTTTTTAACTCCCCTTTCACTTACAGTTAAGTTTTTAAATCCTCATTCAAGGATATGTTGTTAGTGATTTTTAAAGGGAGAGAGAGAGACATCGATGTACGAATTACCGTATTTTCCGGCGTATAAGACGACTGGGCGTATAAGATGGCTTCCTAATTTTACAATTAAAACATAGGTTTAGGCCTATATTTGCTGTATAAGACTAACCCCCTCTTCCGAGGGCAACACCAGTTCTTTTTTTAATACCGCCTCTCTGACTCTGGCCAATCTGAGCAGGCTTTTTACTAGAACACAGTGTCATCTTATACGCCGGAAAATACGGGTAATTGGTTGCCTTCAGCATGAGTCCCGAGTGGGGATCAAACCTGCAACCTAGGTCTGTGCCCTGACTGGGAATTGAACCTGCAACCGTTTATTGTACTGGACAATGCTTCAGCCAACTGAGCCACCGAGCCAGGGCTACAGTTAATTTTTAAGCTTTCATTTATCACTCCTATGGATGACACCGATGTTTTTTTAAAGCTAACAATAAAACAATTCCATCAGTGTAGCAAAATTAAAAACTAAAGAAGATCCGGCACATTATCATGGGAAGGGGTATCAGACAATACCAGTGGAAACAGCAATTTAGACTTACCCACATTTTTACCAGCTCCTCCCCCCCCCCCCCCCCCGGACCCAGTGACTCTGAATGTTGATTTCTTTACCCTGTTGCTAAAGCATGAACTTGAATTGTTCAACAGCAAGTCTGGCACGGGTAGGCAATCATCTAATAGTAAGTGATATTCCTAAACGAATTATAATCGATACTTTGAGATTACTGTTCTTATCAATAGTCTGAAGGAATGTAAACATTTTTAGCTATGCTTTCCTCTATCATACTAGGTAAAATTATATGCCTTGGAGTTTTGAGAACTCATAAACATCAAGGGATACACAGTTTAACTATACAAGCCATGGACTGGTATTCTAGTTTTGTTTTCTGAAAGGAAGTTCAACTGCTCTGTGTCTGGGAAGAGAAAGAGGGAGGTATATGGCTACGAACCACTTTACTCCCTCTCTATTAAAGTGAGCTGGATTAAAATGACAGGGAAAATGACATGCAAGAACAATGTGGATGATTAAAAAAGAAAAACCAATAAACACTTTTGCCTAGAATATGTGTTTCCATCATGATGCAGATCTTATAAAAATATTTGGCAAAACCATTCTTGTAAGAATATTTATGGCTTTTTCTCTACAAAACTGTTTTTGGTTACAATGTGCTAATAAGCAGGTAAGTCAGTCCTTGCCCCTTCCCTTTTTTATCTGCACAGTCTACTAAGAACAGCCTTAAATTCTTATATCATTGGCATTAAAATATGTAAGCCAAACCTCCCTTACGCCCTTAGAGAAGTTCCACTGGCTACTTTACCTGTGAAAGGATGTTGGTGCACTGTTGCAATAAAGAAACTGGAGGATTGCCGATACTTGTAGCAAGTTGAACCCTGAGCAACTGTTCTTTCTGGGTGGCATTTTCTTGCAAAGCATGGGCAAGGGCCACAGCAGCACACCAGTTTGAAAGTGAATCAGTAGAAAACAAACCTCCGCATAATAACTGACCAGCAGAGACTGAATGACCTGTTGCTACAAAGATGAAAGGCAGATAATAACATAAACATTTATTATATTGTTTTCACACACAGAAAAAGTCAAAATACTATCTAAAAATGTGCTAGTAAGTAGTATCTATCTATATAATAGAGGAATATGCAAATTAGCCAGGATATCATAATGTTATAACTGAACAGCAGGGACCTGAGGCTGCATGGCATCTGGCTGGGGCGAGGGACTTCAGACCACGTCCCTGCCTAGTGGGGCTTGATAGGAGACTCCAGGTCATGCCCCCTGCCCTGGGGGACCTGAGGCTGTGTACCCCATCCGGCAGAGCTTGACGGGGTACCTGAGACTGCGCCCCCAGCCCAGAGGGGCTTGATAGGGGTGAGGCTGGGTCTCCTGCATTTTCGAAGCACAAGCGGGTAGTACGCGGGGACTTGACTCTGGGTCCTGTGGCATGCCCTAGACTCTGACGGGAGGGAGGTTTTCATATACATTTTACTAATTTCCTTTCATCTCTGACACTTCTATTATAGAGAAAGAGCAAATAGCAATATTAAAATATTTCCTCTAATTAATCCCCTTTAATGTGCACGAATTTCATGTACCAGGCCACTAGTTAATATTTTTGAAAGTCTGTTTTTCAAAACAAATGGAAGATGATCCCTCTCCAAAAAGACCTTGGGAAAAAAGTAGCAGAGTAAAGAAATAGAATAGTTTAAGCATCAAATTGATAATAGGAATAGTCCAAACATTTTTACCTTAAACACTACATTTCTAAAGAAAATTCAAGAAAATGCCATAGTTTAAATATTCTACCATTAAAATCTAGAAAGACAATTATCTACTTTTAAAAGCAGGAATTAAAATTATTTACCATCAATTGTGGAAGGTAGAAGTGTTGACACAATTTCTCCTTGTCCTTTTTGGTTTTTATATAAGAAACACTGGAAACAATAGAGAACAGCACAGCGCAATACAAATGGCTGCCTTTCATTAACCATAGACATGAGAAGTACTACAATTGCCGGTCTGTTGTGTTTAAAAAAAGAACAAAAAGAAACATTGCAAATCAATAACTAGTCATTTTTGTTGATTGAAAAACCATAACCAGAACACAAGTATTTCCATCTCCATTTCACAGAAAGAATAACTGCAGCTTAGAGAAGCGAAATTACTTATTTGCTTAGGCACACAGCTAGAAAGTGGAAGAGGAGACACCTGATCCCAAATGCACAGGCACCAAAGACTACTAACTCTTTTAAAATACCAACATATTTATCTTGTCAGATAATTTCTAGTTTCAAAATACACAAACTGAACTTCTTAAAACAATAAGGTGTGCATATGAGACATACTAAAAACCCAAAGTAAGTTTTCACTTCATAGCAGAATCTTAATATTTCCCTTTTCCTACCTTGGTGGGTTTGAAGGTGCATTTACAGAAGCAAAGTAGTCTTGGTTTACTTGACAGCCTCGGATAACCTCTGATACAGTATTAATGGTCTATTAAAGGGGGAAAATAATTTAGAGAAAGTAAGTTAAGGAAGGAAACCTGTTTTCAAGTGAAGAAAATTGTTATACCTCTGCTTTTTGTTTTTCAAAGCCAACATTCAGATACCAAATTAATCAGTGACAGCATATAATATTGCAATACTTCCTTGAGATAACATTTAAAGAAATTAAGTATAAGCCTCCAATTAAAAATAACACTTGACCACAGATATTTAAAATCTCAAAAACCTAAAATTAATAATATCCTTTAAGAGCTAGAGTCTATGTCTACAAAACAAGAAAAGGATGTTTTAATATAATATTAGAGAACAAATTTAAAATGTAACAAATTAAAGATTCAATTCAAGAATGTTGAGCCATGGCCAGTGTGGGTAAATGGTTAGAACGTTGGCCCACACACCAAAGGGTCTTGGACTCGATTCTGGTCAAGGACACATACCTGGGTTGCAGGTTCAATACCCAGTCCCAGTAGAGGTGCGTGCAGGAGGCAACCAATTGATGTGTCTCTCCCATGTTGACGTTTTTTTTCTCTTTCTTCCCTCCCTCCATCCAAATCAATAGAAAAAATATCCTTGGTTGAGGATTAACACACACACACACACACACACACACACACACACACACACACAGAATAAAGTTGAAAAAAACCTCTAAGAAAATAGAATTAAAAAAACAAAATAGGTCCAGAAAGTCCAACAATCTATTAATAGAGTTGGAAAAACAGAAGAGAAAAGGGAACATTATCATGGAATACAAAAATCATGGTCAGAACTGAAGGACATTTGTTTCTGGCTTGAAAGGGCCCAGTGAGCGCTCTTTCAAATAAATGAAGGAAAAACAGTTCTACAATACAGCATAGCATCAGTAAATTTCAGAAAACCAGAAATAAAGATTCCAAAAGATTTAGAGAGAAAAAGAGCAGACTCTATAAAATATATTCTCTTGCCATTTATCCCTTTTCAAGAAGTTAACTAAAATAAGATAATGAAATGGAGGGTTGGGGAAAGACATGGAATCAGTAACTAAGGAATACAAATCAAGAGACAGGCGAAAGGAACTCCTAGGAGGAATGATGAATGAAAATCCAGGACAACAGTCAAGTAGCAGAAGTAGAGAATAACCAGTCCATATTGGAGCAGGATGATAAATGGTTTCCAGAAAATAAAATGCAAAAAAGAACACTATTATAACACAAATAAGACCAAGGGGTATTTAAAAAGAGATATAGGCTCTCTTTGCCTCAGCAGGGGACAATATAAATATAGTTTAAGACTATAAGCCTTGATTATTGATTTAAAAATAAGTTACTGGGTGACTAGGGAAGTAAAGTAGGAGGGTAGTGGGACTGATCGTAGGGAGGAGAGAGGTTGAAGACAGCTGTTTTTGTTATAAAACTTTTATTATTATCTGTGCTTTTATTGTGCATGTGTTGAGAAAAATAAAAAAGATAATTTAAATAAACAAAGCCATTATTTTCTTCAAATTAACATTTCTCTAAATGTAGGAAACAGAAAATGCCATATATCAGAAAAGAATTTACTATTTTATAAATAAGCAAGACTACTGAAGGCTCAAGTCCTATTTGACTAAGACTAAAGTCATATTGTTCTCAAAATTGCAAACATAAATCATACCTGTTCATGCCTGTTGAACACAATAAAATTAATGAGAACTCTTCTATGCTTTATCATTACTTATATATTATTAAACTTGATGAATGAGTCCACCTTTTGGAATTGATACTGTCATCATTATGCTAATTATATTTTAGTAGGATCAATAAGAACCTTAACACATAAAAAGTTAATTACTGCTGTTTTTCCTTTAGCTGATATTTAATTCTTTCTGATAATTCTTAGGATTTCAACTTCCACAGAGCAGTCTCTGCGTTCATTCAGTTTACCTCAGTCAGGATATCAGCAGGAATCCCAGTAGCCATTAGGATAGTGCAAAGCTGCTGCAATAAGCCGCACTGGAACATGGCTTTCTGGCAGCTACTGGTAGCACCAGGAGGGTTGGTGGGAGAGACCAGGACACGAATAAGCTGCGAAAGAAAGAGAAACAATATCTTTTAAAGATCAGAGACTTTAAAAAAGTCTTGAAGTGAATTTAATCTATAGCAACAACAACAAAAAAGATCTACACGAATAATGCCTTCACCTGCTCAGCCAGATCTGGGTGCTCTTTCCTTCATGCTGTCATGACAATGATTCTGTTATACTACATGTTAATCCTAAATTTGTCTCCTTCAGTGATTGTGAACTCCCAGAGAGCAGAAACTACTTTGGTCATTTTTGTATCCCAAATAAGCACAGTATTTATAACATAGTTCATACTCAATAAATGAACGAATGGATAAGTAACAGGGTGGTATTTTATCAAAGTAAGATTTCTTATTGAAGTAAGGATGAACATCTAATTATAGAGCAGGTCTGAAAACAGAATGGGTGGAGGTGTTTAAATTCCTCCTAACAGGAAATACTTAAAGAGAGGATAAACTAACAACTGGAGGCATGGTAGAAGATTCATGCATTAGGCAAGGGATTGGCCCCACTACTTGTTAATGCTAATTAAGTCCCTAATTCAGATTCTATGATTCATTAGTCTGAACTTAAACATGAAACTTAAGAAACATGAAAACAGTCATCCCAAGTAAGTGTTCAGCACAGTTACATCTTCAAAATAATTTTATATATAACTTGCATTTTAAAACTAGTATAAAATTTTGTATATCAAAATCAAATGGGACATTTATGATAATACTTTATTAAGAGGGTCAGCTAATAGATGATGATCCTAGAGAGAGACTTTAGGATTTCATATCGGTTCTTCTCCTTGGACCTTTCTAATTAGATTTCCATTAAAATTTTGTTGTTTTTGTTTTTAAAATTTATTATCTTTCTATCCCTACTTAAAAATTTTTATAAGCAAATATCAAGCTATTTGTCATTGCTCCAACAAATATTTCTATAATTACCTCTAACTGATGTGGATTTTATTTTATTTATTTATTTATTTATTATTTATTTATTTATTAATATATTTTATTGATTTTGTACAGAGAGGAAGGGAGAGAGATAGAAAGCCAGAAACATCGATGAGAAAGAGTCATTGATCAGCTGCCTACCGGGGATATGCCCGCAACCAAGGTACATGCCCTTTACCGGAATCGAACCCGGGTCCCTTCAGTCCCCAAGCCGACACTCTATCCATTGAGCCAAACCGGTCTCGGCTGATGTGGATTTTAGAAAACATTCATCAAGCCATTAAAATAGTAATTTCTTAATATGATCTAATAGCAGTTAGATATTTTTATTGAAGGAAATACAGAAAAAATAATTATCAATTTCTAGGTAAAAGAAAAAGTAGAAGGAATGGTTGAAAAAAGAGGGAGTCCTTATTATATGGATAAAAAAGCAGATTCTGACTCATATAGATTAAATTTTTAGTGATTTAAATTTCCAAATATTGAAAAATATTTTCTCATAAGATAATGAACTTTCTGGGAGTCAGAATTAGACATTACACTATCATTCAAAAAATTAAAATGTTTTATGATTAACAAAATTTTTCAAAAAGATTCTTCCCCAAATTCAATCTGCAAATCTTGGAGTGAAATATTCTCAAGCAGATCAATTTCAACTTTTAGTAGCTTAGAATTCAATCATGATTATAACTGTAATGATTCCAATTAGGGTGTATCTATCCAAAAAAGGTTTAATCATCGTTTATGACACCTTTTTAAAATATAAATATTTTATTACTTTTTTACAGAGAGGGAGGGAGGATAGAGAATTAGAAACATTGATGAGAGAGAAACGTCAATCAGCTACCTCCTGCACACCTCCTACTGGAAATCTTCATATCCAACATATACCCGCAACCAAGATACACGCCCTTGACCAGAATCAAACCTAGGACCTTTCAGTCCGCAGGCTGACACTCTAGCAACTAAGCCAAATCAGCCAGGGCTATGATGCCTTTTTATGTGCTTGAAATACAAACATCCCTGAATATAGCTATAAAAAAAGAGCATTCAACAGAATGAAAAGCAGAAAATAACTATTGGCCTATAAAGTCATGAATACATCAACTACTCAATCTTTAAGATTGAGAATATATAAATTAAACGTCAGTTTTACTTCTATGTTTATATTCTTCCAAGATTACACCTGAAGATGTTTTATTGATTTTTTTTTTATTTTTTTTATTTTTTTTAGAGAGAAAGGAAGGGGGAGAGAAAGGGAGAGGAGAAAAAGAGAGAGAGAAATTGAAACACTGATGACAGAGAGAAACATCAGTCAGTTGCCTCTTGCATGCACCCTAATCAGAGATCAAACCCACAACCTAGGTTGTGCCCAGGCTGGGAACTGAACCTGCAACCTTTTGGTATATGAGACAACACTACAACCAACTGAGCCACACAGGCCAGGTTCTGTTCTTCTGTTTACATGTAACACACTATTCTAAAATTTTTTTTGGTTAAATGATTACTTTACTTTTTAAACAGTGACACTGTCTTCAAAAATAATTCTTTATATAGTATCCTATACTATAAAACATGAGTAGGCTCCTCAAGCAATTTAAATTTTCACTGTTTGATAGGAAATATATAAGTTTTTGTACATCATCAGATCCCTTCACTCTCTCTAATCACATTTTGTAAATTACTTTTCTAGAGGAATTTCCTTTATTAAGAAAGCAGTGTTGACCACCCCCATCCCCAGTCCACATAGCCCCACTATTGGGTCAGCCAGGACTGATCTCATCCTCTTGGAATGGGGGAATCTTCCTCATGTCCGGCCCACACCTCCAGTAAAGACCTATGCCCTCAGCAATGAATGGCTCACCATGTGCTGTTGCTGGGATGTTTGTACTAAAAAAAAAAAGAAAGCAGTGTTGAGCCAAGATATCAGTTTTACCACTTGGAACCCTGTTCTAAAAAACATAAATAAAGTCTTGAAATGTGCAATACTGATATGTGAAAATAGAAATAATGAAGTTGGGAGTATAAATACAAAGATTCTGCCCATGTTCTTCTGTAAAATATTTTCCTAACAATGTTTAGGCATATTCTGAATAGAATAACTATGTAATTTATTACCCAAATAGGGACACTTAAAGTAAAAGATGACACTGAGTAATTATAAAATGAATACTGTTCTGGCAAACTGGGGTATATGGTGACCCTAATTATCAATCAAACCTATGTAAGCAACTTTTTGGGCATGTAACAGTATTAAGACTCTAATTACTAGAGAAATTAACAATCTAGTTTTGAGGAATACAACTTCAGAGATGCAGGCACAATTCAGAGACATTCAAAGACCAGTAAGATTCACCAGAGTAAGTTAAAAAGGAGTAAATGAGTAAAATGCTTCAAAGAACATTATAATTTTCTCTGATGCAGAAGTAATTTGGGATCATACTGTCCTCACTTCCACTATCTATTACAATAAAGCTTAAATAAAATTAGAGGTGATTTGTATTGGACTTAATACAATTTAATTTATATTGGACTTAAAACTCAGACTATCAATCTTTGGGGATAGAGACATTATAATTCATTTACCAGCATTCAATAACTGGCTCTCAGTAAATGTTTCCTGAATGAATTTATTTGTTGAACTTAATATTCTCAATATTAAAATTTATATCAGAGTCTTCATTAAAAAAAAGCACATTTAAAAAATTCCAAGTCAACACTTTAATTGATTATATTCTGTTGTAAAACTCATCAGGAAACTATATGTTTGGATTTGCTTTAAAATAATTCTGCAGGGTAAGAGAGGGGAATAAAAAAATGAAACAAAATTGCCAGATGTAATAATTATGATAGGGGTGTGTTTGGAGGGGTGAAGGAGATCAATTTCCATATTAGGAAAGTTTTTAAAAAGCTGACCTGAAGTCTACTGAACATCCTCGTTTTATTAAAAATGAGTTTACTTTTCTTTGAAAGGATTATAGTCAAAATTCTTACCACATTTATGTCTAAATTCAATATACCTGTAGCATTAGGTGCAGATTTGTTACTTTCTGTGCAGACCAGCCAGAATTTTCATCTCCAACTTCAAACCAAGGTTTCATACGTTGAATATACGAGCCTTCTTTAAAAAAATTTTGATTGGAATTGTTGTTTTTTAACAAGTTTTGGAGCAAAATCAGACAATCTTCCACAACTATACCTGAGGAAAGAATGTAAATTGGAAATGTTAAGGCTGATAAAACCTGAAGGAAAATTCAATCTCTAAACATTAAAAAAAAAAAGAGAAAAAGAGAGAGAAATCTCCACACCTAACATCTCTTCAGTATGGCAAGGCAGAGAGCTGTTCTGACTCCTGACAGCCACAAACTGTGTGTTCTTTCTCAGAACTGCTAATGATCTCTTTGACTTCTATGTTCAACTATGTACATATGTGTTACCTCAGTAATTCAGATATTTTCTTCAAATCTCAGGTTAAATATAATTTCTTCAGGAATAATCACCAAGACCCAATGACTAACTTAGCTAGCATCACTAGCTACATGCTTTCATAGTAGCTTGCTCCTTTTATTTTGATATTTTCTCCAATAGATTATAATTTATGAAGACAGGAATTTGTGAATGCCATAGTAGGATACAGTGACCTGCCCTGTATCCATTGCAGAGACAGAGACAAGATATCAGGTGTAGCAGGGACCGGTTTGGCTCAGTGGATAGAAAGGCCTGCGGACTGAAAGGTCCCGGGTTCGATTCTGGGCAAGGGCATGTACTTTGGTTGCGGGCACATCCCCGGTGGGGGGTGTGCAAGAGGCAGCTGATAGATGTTTCTCTCTCATCGATGTTTCTAACTATCTCTCTCTTCCTCTCTGTGAAAAATCAATAAAAAAAAATATATTAAAAAAAAAAGATATCAGGTGTATACATAATAGGTCGCTATTAAATATCTGTTGAATGAATTCATCGTATCTTAATTTCTAAGAACTACTGGACATTATTGTCTGTCTCTTCCTTGAAACTTCCTCTTCCCTTAGTTCCCCAAAAAGTTGCTCTTTCCTGGTTTTCCTTAGGGATCGCTGGCCACTCGTCTGGCTTCCTATCATTCATGATCCTGTTGTCCATTTTTTCTTCTTTGCTTACAAAATACACTCTCCATAGTAGTTTCATTCACACAACTGGTGACACTTTTATCACAGCTGAAGCTCTCCAACTACTGATCTCCACTTTACCAAGTGCTAGTCTAACCAATGATCTGTTTCTCTCAATGAAGGATATGGATGATGCTGGATGCTTACAGCTAGCAGGTTCTTTTGTGCAATACACCTACACTTCTGCTCTTAGTAGTTAAGCTTTATGTCTACAATAATCAATTTTTAAAAATTAATACACTTTATTTCTTTCCGTTTCTCCTACTATTATCTTTTAGCATTAGTGTGACACATTTGTTTGACTCATGAATGAATACTGATACATTATTCAAGTCCATAGTTTACTTTAGGGTTCACTCTTTGTGTTGTACAGTTTTATGGGTTGACACATGTACAATGTCACATATCTGCCATTAAAGGTATCATACAGAATAGTGTCATGCTTTAAAATCCTGTTATACCTATTCATTCCTCTTTCCCCCAAATCCTGGCAACTGTCTCTATATAGTTTTGTCTTTTACAGATGTCAGTTGGTTAGGTCACAGACAATGTAAACTTTCAGATGGGCTTAACTTAGCAATATGCATTTAAGGTTCCTCCATTTCTTTTCATGGTTTGCTAACTTTTTATTGTGAAGGACATTTTAATTGCTTCCAAGTTTTGGCAATTGCAAATAAAGTTGCTATAAACATTCATGTGCAGAATTCTGTGTGCATATAAGTTTTCCATTCATTTGGGTAAATATCAAGGAGTGTGACTATTGGATCGAGTGATAAAAAGTATGTTTAGCTTAGTAAGAAACTGCCAAAATGCATTCCAAAATGGTTGTACCAATTTGCATTCCCACTAGCAATCAATTAAGAGTTTCTTAGTACTACATCCTTGCCTGCTTTTGGTATTGTTAGTGTTCTAGATTTTTGCCATTTTAATAGCGTGTAGTGATAGCTCATTATTTTAATTTGCATTGTCCTAATTTTGAGCATCTCTTCATGTGCTATTTGCCATCTATATTTCTTCTTTGGTAATGTGTTTGTTCACTTTTGTCCATTTTATAATTGTAATTTTGTTTGTTTATTGTTGAATTTTTAAGAGTCCACTGTAGAATTTGGATACAAGTCCTTTTTCAGATATATATTATTTTCTTCCTGTCTGTAGCCTATCTTTCCATTTATGTTTTAAAAATTAATTATATCATTTTTTAATTTTTCAATTACAGTTGACATACAATATTATATTAGTTTCAGGTGTATACCCCAGTAAGTAGACATTATATAAATAACTAAGTGATCATCCTAATAAATCTCCCACCCATCTGACACCATACATAGTTATTAGAATATTACTGACTATATTCCCATTGCTATATTTTATATTCCCATGACTATTCTGTAACAACCAATTTGTATTTCTAAATTCCTTCACCTTCTTCACCCATCCATCCCGGCCCCTTTCCCATTTTGCAAACATCTTCGAATCTGTTTCTGCTCTACTTGTTTAGTTTTTTAGATTTCATTATTGATATTTTTTGCCATTTTACTGTTCATATTTTTTCTCTTTTCACCCCTTTATTTTTCTTAAAGATGACCTTTTAAAATTTCATGTAATTCTGGTTTGGTGGTAATAAATTTCTTTAGCTTTTTTTTTTTTTATGGGGGAGCTCTTTATATGTCTTCTGAATCTAAATGATAGCTTTGCTGGGTAATCCTGGTTGTGGGTTCTTGCTTTTTATCACTTTCCTATTGGCCTGCAAAGTTTCTATTGAGAAATCAGTTGACACTGGGAGCTCCCTGTTGGTAACTAATTGCTTTTCTCTTGCTGCTTTTAAGATTCTCTTTGCCTTTAATTTTTTACATTTTAATTATGATGTGCATTGGTGTGGGCCTCCCTGGGCTTATCTTGTTTGAAACCTTCTGTGCTTCCTGGATTTATATGTCTACTTCCTTCACCAGGTTAGGGAAGTTTTCTGACATTCTTTTATCAAATAGGCTTTCAATTTCTCACTCTCTGGCACTTGAAGTAGTCCTGGAGGTTCCTTACACTACCTTCATTTTGTTTTGGATTCATTTTTCTTTTTGTTGTTCTGATTGGGTGTTTTGTACTTCCTTATATTACTAATCACTGACTTGAATCTCAGTGTCATCTACTCTCCGGTTGATTCCCTATAAATTATTCATTTCAGTTAGTGCCTGGTCTTTTTTTTGGTGTTGAAGTTCTCACTAAGTTCACTGAGAATCCTTATAACCAATGCTTTGAATTCTGCAATTAGATTGTCTCCATTTTGTTTAGAATTTTGTTCTGTTCTTTCATTTGAAACATATTTCTTTGTCCCCTCAATTGGCAGCCTCTCTGTGTTTGTTTTTATGTATGAGGTAGAGCTGCTGCATCTCCCAGGCTTGGCAGAGTAGCCTAACGTAGTAGATACCTTGTAGGGTCCAGTGGCACAGCTTCCCGGTTCACCTGAGCTGGGCACTCTATGTATGCCCCCATGTGGGCTATGTATGCCCTCCTGTTGTAGTTGAGGCTTGATTGCTATTGGCACATCAGTGGACTGGATTTACCCCAGGTTGATTGGCTGCAAGGACCAGCTACAACCACCAATCATCATAGAGGATAAACTGTGTAGGAGCCCACCCCACAGAGCAGAACTTACTTCAGTGGGGCTCTAGTGCCCACTTGAATCTACCCTCGTGTCACTTGTGGAAGTGGTTGGGTGATGCTTTGATGTAGTTTGAAGCTATCCACTGGTTGTGCTGGCTCTGGGGCTTCCTAGGAGGTGCAGGCTCCATGAAAGTGAGCCACCATGTAGTGTAAGGAGCTCCCAGTGTCAGCTGATTTCTCATGCCACCTGGCATGAACTACAAATTGATCTGCAGATGGCTGTTACTTGTGCTGGGCTTAGAGGTGCCCAGGTAAGGCTAACTGTGAACCACGGCTAGATACAGCTAGTGCCAGGCCTGGGGACAACTTAGGAAAAGGTACAGGTACACCAAGGCCAGATGTGGCTTGAGAGATTTTTGAAAAGTCTGAGTGTCAGCAAAGGTAGGCCATTATATAGAAAAGTCACAAGGGTGGGGTGGGGATCTCAGGGAATCAATAGGGCAGGGCAAACAGTGTGAGCCAGGGTGACAGAGACTCAGATATGGTGCCCTTCTGCCAGCTTTGTTGGCAGAGGGCTCAAAAAAAGGAAAATGGCCTCTGTCAGCACTTTTCTCTGGGAAAAAGCTGACACCTCCTCCCCAAGCTCTTGCCCTGATGCCAAATACTTCAGTTCCTCCTTGCATGTTCCCGGTGCCTTTTGAGCTGCTATCCCTGTGTTGGAACTCTGAAAGAGTAAGTCAGAGTAAGTCTGTGTGCAGGCCCTTTAAGAGGAACTGCCTGGGACTCCAGGAGCTCTCCATCTCACTCAACAACAATTCTCTTTGGTCTTTACAGCCAAAGATTGTGGGAATTTCTCTTCCTGGCACTGGAACCCTGGGCTGGGTGGCCTGGTGTGGGGCTGGTAACCTATTCCTCAGGGGAGACCTCCACAGCAGAGAGATTCCTCCCAATTTTTATCCACCACACGTGAATGTGGTACCATCCTGTTCCTTAACTCCACCCCTCCTACCAACTTCAATGTGGCTTTTTATTTAAATCCTTAGTTGTAGGACTTCCATTCAGCTAGGTATCAGGTGGTCCTGTATAATGGTTGTTTTGTAGTTTAGTTGTAGTTTTGATGTGTTTGTTGGAGGAAGAGGCAAGTACTGCATTTACCTACACCACCATCTTGACCAGAAGTCTCTTTTCATTTTCTTAAAGAGAATGTTCTGCTGAGAAATTTTCAATTTTAATTAAGTCCCACTTATCAGTTTTCTCTTTCATGGATTATGCTTTTGGTATTGTATCTAAAAATAAATATATTTTGTTCGCAAATATATCATGCTATTTGCACTGATTATTAACTATTATGTAAACTGCCAAAATATGACAACATTACATTTGGCAAAACTCAATAAAAGCAAATAATTAAAAATGACTGTTGTTATGCAGGGGTAATACAAACCTAGAATAAGGAAGT